TGTTGTTTAATAATAAATTTACTATGACCCATATTATATCTTAGAAACAGAAACTAAATAATTTATTCCTCTTTCTTTTACTGATTCTCACACTTCCCTTTTTCTTTCTAACTACAGGCTTTTAGAGATATAAACCAGATCAAATTTTTCCATATTGTCTTTTAAATCCTGGCATGACTTTGTATCAGTTAGAATTGCTTAAGTAGAAACTATTAAAGCAAATAAAAATGAAGATCAGGTTTGAAAAATCCCTGAGCTAACCAAGCCATTTAGGCCTTGAAAATAACTTTAACCTTGCTTAAGTTGCCAATGTAGGGAGAAAACTTGGGTCATTTCTTGTAAATGCCTGTATTACAGGAAAACAGAACTTAAGCTTGACCAATAAGAGGAGGCCAGATAACATGATTACAGAACAAGGGATTTTTCAGTGGGATGGAGCAAATAAGGCAGTTTCATGATGCTTATCAATTAAATATTTTCTTTGTATTACCTTCCGATTCCTTCTGTAAAAGTGTATCCTTTATGTTTTTTCAATGGCATTGAAGAACCACTTCCTGTTTAGAGCTGTCCTGTTCATGGATTACTGTTTGTTTAAATACATTATATAAATTATATTTACCTCAGTTTATCTTTTTAATACAACTAACAAATATTCCAAATTTGACCTGCTTTGAAAAGTATTGAATATATTATCTCACATAGGTGGAATCCCACACACAGTGACATTTTCAGGCAGGTTGATTAAGTGGCTCATTGTTTTCAAAGACCCAGGTTCTTCCCATAACTCTGAAATCCACTGGATTAAAGTAACCTATAAGCTTGTTCCTCTCTTGATTTCAAGATACTATCTATCACTGCTGCAGATTTTCTTACTCATCATGCAACATTAAGGGTAGCCACAAATAATTTGATGTTTTCTTCATCTTGAGATGAGTTCTATGTACCATCCCCTTGAATCTGGGTGACAGCTATGTCTACTTGAACAATGGAATATGGCAAAAGTGAATCTGTGATTGCTCCTAGACCCAAGCCTTAAAATACTGGTAGCTTCTACTTTGTCTTTGAACACTTGGTTTTGCAACCCAATGGCCATACTGTGCAAAAGTCTAATAAGTCACACACCAGGCCCCTGTGAAGAGCAACCGTGGCTAGCTGAACTCCCAGGGAACAGCCCGCACCATCTTATGATTCATGTAGATTAGTATCTTAAATGTGAATCTTCCGTTCCCAGTCCAGCTGCCCAGCTAAAGACACATGGAATGGACATGAGTTCTCCTCACATCGTCTTTCCCAGATTACTGGTTTGTGAATTAAATAAATGACCATTGTTTAAACCATTGCTTTGTTCTTTTTTTTTTTTTTTTGAAAAAAAAAAAAAAAATGGGAGGGAACGAGTGTTTGTGATGCAGCCATTAATAATCAAAACAGTCATATTTCTCAAGAGATAGAAAAATATAAGTCCTTATATTCAGTGTGATGGGACAAACATAGGCCTACTGCTCACCCCCTGAGTCACTCAAGAAATTCCAAAGCCAACTGTCTTTACCTAAACTAAGTCTCCTACTAAAGTTGAGATGAGGTCAGTTTCCACAGATGCACATGGCATATGGAGCAGTGCTAGGTTCAGTAAGGAGGAAGATGAATTGGTGGCAGACAAATAATCTGTAGGGTCCACTGCTAACTACATACTTTCTTTTAAAAAGAGAAAATTTTCAGATACTGTTATTAAGACAGAGATTTGAAACTTTTATAAATTGTCCTTAGGTTGTAAAGATAAAGAGGGACTATTAGAGCAAATGTTAATTCATCAAAGAGCATGTTAAAATTGAGGCTCCATCATTTGAGGCCTTTTTTCTGAGAAAATAGATGATTAGGAGGCTTACTACAAGATAAAAACAACGACACTTAATGGTTATCTCTTTAAAAAATGGGATGAAAAATGTCTGAGCCCTTATGCAAAAAAAAAAAAAAAGAAAAGAAAGCTGGCTTTAAAGTGAATTTTGAGAACATTCCTTCTACAAAGCAGATATCTGATGCTTCACACATACTTTCCCAATAATCCTAGGGCAGACCACAAACAGCGAGATGGTGAAGTTCCTAGACTGGTATACACTTTCTACATGACTTTAGGAAAGTTGTCTAACTTTACTAGCTTCTTTTATCCATTTAATAATAATTTATTGAGCACTTAGGCTATAATAGGCACTGTACCTTCATCTATAAAATGAAAATAATCATACTTCTTTTTTTTTTTTTTTTTTTGAGACAGAGTTTCTCTCTTGTTGCCCAAGCTGGAGTGCAATGGCACAATCTTGGCTCACCGCAACCTCTGCCTCCTGGGTTCAAGCGATTCTCCTGCCTCAGCCTCTCCAGTAGCTGGGATTACAGGCACGTGCCACTGTGCTTTGGCTAATTTTGTATTTTTAGTAGAGACGAGATTTCTCCATGTTGGTCAGGCTGGTCTCAAACTCCCGACCTCGGGTGATCTGCCTGCCTCAGCCTCCCAAGCATACATCTTTTAAAAGTTTCTCTGAAAATTATATGAAGTCCTCTTTGTAAAAAAAAAAAAAAAAAAAAAGTACTTTTATAACAATATTTGAATATACATCACATATTTTAAATTTCTGTATAACTATAGAATGAGATAATAATAGCAGAAAGCCAAGTACACCTTCAAGGTTTTACAAAATGTTTTAACTGGTAGCAAATTCAAAGAGTAAAGAAATCCATTATTATCAAAGCAGAAGATAGTCCACACACTAAGGGTACTGTGAAATAACAGGGATGGCTGGAGCCACCTTCATACACAACATGAGAATTTGAAGCAAAGTGGTTCATCTTTCTGTTACCCATGTAAGAAAGAGGTTATTCCAGATACTGTAAAACCAATTTCATTACCTTGAATTCTAAGAGGCTGCAATTATTTTAGGCTATAACAAAATTATTATTAAATCAAGTTTTTAAAAAATAAGTCCACTGAAAATTGAGAATACTTTATAATTCTCTGATTTTAACTAACTTTGTCGGACTAAAGAACAGCCAGACCTAGTGTCTTTAAAATCACTTTTTAAATATAGGTTTTATTTTTCAAATTGATCTCAGCTCTGTTCCAAATGACTCTGGTCCGCAGGACTGACAACATATCGGAGAGAGTTTTGCATTTTAGATGACGGGTTTTTTTTTTTTTTTAATTTATTTATTATTATTATACTTTAAGTTGTAGGGTACATGTGCATAACGTGCAGGTTTGTTACATATGTATACTTGTGCCATGTTGCTGTGCTGCACCCATCAACTCGTCATTTACATCAGGTATAACTCCCAATGCAATCCCTCCCCCCTCCCCCCTCCCCATGATAGGCCCTGGTGTGTGATGTTCCCCTTCCTGAGTCCAAGTGATCTCATTGTTCAGTTCCCACCTATGAGTGAGAACATGCGGTGTTTGGTTTTCTGTTCTTGTGATAGTTTGCTAAGAATGATGTTTTCCAGCTGCATCCATGTCCCTACAAAGGACACAAACTCATCCTTTTTGATGGCTGCATAGTATTCCATGGTGTATATGTGCCACATTTTCTTAATCCAATCTGTCACTGATGGACATTTGGGTTGATTCCAAGTCTTTGCTATTGTGAATAGTGCTGCAGTAAACATACGTGTGCATGTGTCCTTATAGCAGCATAATTCATAATCCTTTGGGTATATACCCAGTAATGGGATGGCTGGGTCATATGGTACATCTAGTTCTAGATCCTTGAGGAATCGCCATACTGTTTTCCATAATGGTTGAACTAGTTTACAATCCCACCAACAGTGTAAAAGTGTTTCTATTTCTCCACATCCTCTCCAGCACCTGTTGTTTCCTGACTTTTTAATGATCGCCATTCTAACTGGTGTGAGATGGTATCTCATTGTGGTTTTGATTTGCATTTCTCTGATGGCCAGTGATGATGAGCATTACAAACCTGAGAGAAACAAGAAATGGGGAAAGGATTCCCTATTTAATAAATGGTGCTGGGAAAATTGGCTAGCCATAAGTAGAAAGCTGAAACTGGATCCTTTCCTTACTCCTTATACAAAAATTAATTCAAGATGGATTAGAGACTTAAATGTTAGACCTAATACCATAAAAATCCTAGAGGAAAACCTAGGTAGTACCATTCAGGACATAGGCATGGGCAAAGACTTGATGTCTAAAACACCAAAAGCTACAGCAGCAAAAGCCAAAACTGACAAATGGGATCTAATTAAACTAAAGAGCTTCTGCACAGCAAAAGAAACTACCATCAGAGTGAACAGGCAACCTACAGAATGGGAGAAAATGTTTGCAATCTACTCATCTGACAAAGGGCTAATATCCAGAACCTACAAAGAACTCAAACAAATTTACAAGAAAAAAACAAACAACCCCATCAAAAAGTGGGCAAAGGATATGAACAGACATTTCTCAAAAGAAGACATTCATACAGCCAACAGACACATGAAAAAATGCTCATCATCACTGGGTTTTTTTTTTTTAATTTATGTAAGCCTTTATGCTCTTTCTTAAAGGCTTTTCATAATTTGCCTATTGCCCTTTCATTTATCCATTCATTCACTTTCACACTTACTTATGAGCATTATGCTATATACTGAAGAAATTTTTTCAGTAAGGAACCAAACTATTTCATCAGCTTTCAGGGCATGAGGTATGTAATTTTAAATCAATATCCATAATGGAATGAGCAAAGTGTCTTCACGTTCTACATCTGCCTCATTTATACCCAGATTATAATTTTCCTTGATTTCACATTTAATTTAATCTGGATAAACGCTGTAAGTAGAAGTTTTAACTAGCATTAGAGTTACTTTACAGATGCAAACATACACATACCATATGTGCATATAATTTTCATTCATCTTTGTTGTAAAAAAAATTACATTGATCATTTTCTGTTATAATCCACTACATGATTCCTTGAAATGTGTTTCAAGGTAAATTTAGAGTTATTTGACAATACCTATTTTTTTTTTTTTTTTTTTTTGCAACTGAGAAAGAAAGCCCTTGACCTCCCAGAGAATCTTTTCTTATGCAGTGGCTGCAATTTGTCACTCCTGGGTGATTTAGATGTAAACAATAGCAAGTGGCTTTGAAGAACTATGGTGGGCAATAAAAGGTTAATTTTCTCAAAATGGAAATCTCTAGCTGTCCCTGTGATAACTGAGAGGGCTGTAGAGATAAGTGTTTGCATGGCAATGAAGAGAATATTCTGAACATTAAATTAGAGTTTTGATAGGCTTATTTATGACCATGTTTACTGCAGGGATGGTAAAAATGAATTAAAGAAAAGTGCACATACCATACTGAACTGACCTGCTCTTGATAATGATGAAACCCTTTGGATTTTATACTGTGGGCTTAACCAGCAGTGCTCCCCAAGGAAATAATTACTCCAAAGAGAACTTTTGCCCAGTCAGTTATTGAATTTTGTTCACATATGGAAGAACCGAGCTTACCATGAGGAGGCCACCTCTGCAGCAAGTGTCTGTTTTAAAAGAAGATTCAGGTTCAGGTCCCTTACTAGTCCTTATAGCTGAGAAACTTGAACACGTTATTTTGAAACCCAGCATTATCATCTGTAGTAAGAGTGTTGGTGGTACTATTAAGCAATCTAGAGGTGTTTGACACTCCCCAAAATGCAGATAAAAATAAGAGCAAGATTGCCCTATCATGAGGAGAAATGAAAGGCACCGAGATTGAAGATTTACTGTTTACATTTAAACACACTCGAGTTTGAGTACTACATCTGTGGCTTAACAATTACCTCCAATCAGTCTTGTTAATTTAGCAGTCTACAGTTTAGTTTCCTGAAATGTAAACTGTTGGTTTTTAGCAGGATTGGTGAGAGGATTAAATGAGATAATTAATGTAACATGATGAAAATGCTTTCTAGCACATTGTAAGCACTTAAAATAAATGTTAACTAATAGCAGCTATTTTATTTTATTTCAGTTAACCAAAAGGTTAATTAGAAGCTTAGTTGGTGAGTCAAGAATGAATGGAAGAGAAGAAAAAATAGTTACAAAGGACAATGTTACCCATGTTGTTAAGAACTGAAAATGTCATCCGGGGAAACTCAACCATCTTCCTGACATCTAGATCCCTATACCGAAGGCGATAACATTAGGATATGTAAGTCTGATGTTGTGAGAGAGATTTGAATACTTCACATAATACGCCTTTCTTTTGTTATGCTCTTCAGGCAGTCATCTATTATCTGGCTTTCCAATGGTTTGCCTAGAGAAAAAAAAAAAATATGATGATCTTTAGAGACCCAAATAAATATCTGATCTAGATATTACAGTCTTCATTGAAAAGAATACACAGATCTCTGATTGTATATGTAGTCTTCTACATGTTTCAGTAGAAGTCAGTTATTTTAAGCGTTATAGCCTCTAAGTATACAATGAAATTTCTAAACTCTCAAACTAAGGATATGACTTGGGATGGGCTGAATACATTAAAACGTGGCTTCCATTTAGGGATCCATTAGAAAAACCACGGCACTCATCTAACTCATTGCATAACTCTAAAACTAGAAGCCTGTTTTCCCGTGACCAGTGGTTTAGTTAAGACTGATGAGAGAACATAAGTGAAAAATATTGGTTTTAGTTATAAAGTAAGGATGATAAAAATTTCATTGTGTTTAAGAAAGTTACTAGTTGAATCTAGGACTCTTAGGAAAGAATTTATCTGCCACGTTCTGGCAATGAACTAAAGTGTGTATAGGATTATATGTTACTACCACATTACACGTATTACCTCTTATTTTTACACATGGCAAATTATAAAAATAAAAATGAGAGGCAAGAGATATACTTAAGATTTTGATAATTTGAATACAACATAGAAGATACATTGTTTAATCTTACTGAATTTGATCATTTGGAGTAGGGTTGGTCTGATTTGTAGACTAACTTCAAAATTGAACATTCTTGAGCAAAAGTCCACCTTTAGGAAATTTATTTTAATAAATAACAACTTATAATTAGCATATCAATTATGGTATATATTCGATTGCTTCCAAATTACTTTTGTGTCAATTGAAACAATTTGCTTTGCAAAATATTATAAATTATCATCCCAGATATTATTTATGAAACTCCCTTGTCTATTTGTAAATAGTTTCATGAGTAAACTTGTGACAAGCTCTCATTTAAATATCTATACATTTAGAATTGTATAATCTGAAATGAATTAAGTTCAACAGTAACATTTCAAGTGAAAATGTCATAGTTATAGAGGAAGAAGTTAATACCTGAACATTTTTCTGCAGAATTATTATAAGATTGCTATTTTAGCAATACCCTCATAATGTATTAGAAATATGAATTAGAGCCTACGTAATTAATATTCTTTACACTGAGATACATGTAATATATTATCACATGATAATTAAGGTTAAAATTGTTTAAATTTTTAAATACTCTAAGCAAAAATGTTAAGAAAATATAACGTAAACAAAAGTATCACAATTACTGTTCAAAATATTGATATATACAAATTGTTTTTTAGTATCTTCAAGGGTATTAAAATGATGTTCATATGTGATGAATGTTAATAATATGCTGTTCGTATTTACTTATCAGAAGGGTTTCCAGTTGTATCTTTCCTAAATAACAACTATTAATCTTTATCTATTTACAAGACAGTATACTGAGTCAAAATATTGTTTTTCTTTTAAATTTAGAGAGTTGTTTTTTCAGCTACTCGGGAGGCTGAGGCACTACGGCCTGGGAGAGAGGGCGAGACTCCGCCTCCAAAAAAAGAAAAGAAAAACAAAATCTTTTTTCTTTAATCTTGAAGCCTTTCAATATTTTCACATGTAAAAGATTAATTTATTTGTATGTAAAACCTTTATAAAATTTTAAATGAGTAAATTCAATTAATTGCTTATGAAGGTTTAGTGTTTTGTGAAAGAGTGATGACCTATATGTCAAATGTTTAATTACAATTCTTTCTTAAAAAATAGTTAGTATCTTACATTTTAAAAAATTCTCATGTTGTTTGTCATTGATTAAAGACCCTGGAATATGAAATGAGCAAATATTATTCTCACTTTAAATTTGAGGACATTAAAACTTTTAAAGATCATGCAGTCTTTTCAAGTGATTTGGCTAATGTTCAGAGAAGCTACCAGAGAGCTACCTCTTATTCTGGTGCTTTTCTTAATATTGTAAAATTGTGAAATAATGTGATGCAATTTGATAAAATATGATGTAGATTACTACAACCTATAAAATTTCTCCAGTTCACATGAAAATTACTTTAACTTAAATGAGATAAAATAATTATATATATTTATATCTGTCAATTAAGTTATTTAAAAAAGCACACATGCCCAATTATGACTGTGTGTATGCTATAATCTTGGTGTTATTTTAATATTTGAAACGGGATTTGGAAAACTGGAAGTGGTTTTTAATGTCATTTTGCCTCAGTAGTACCAAAAGTCATATAATTATTTTTTATTTTATTATTATTATTTCCTGAGGCAGAGTCTTATTTTGTTGCCTAGGCTAGAGTGCAGTGGTGCTATCTTGGCTTACTGCAATCTCCACCTCCAGGGTTCAAGCGATTCTCCTGCCTCAGCCTCCCGAGTAGCTGGGATTACAGGCGCCTGCCACCATGCACAGTTAATTTTTGTATTTTTAGTAGAGACGAGATTTTGCCACGTTGGCCAGACTGGCCTTGACCTCTTGGCACTCAGGTGATCTGCCCGCCTCGGCCTCCCAAAGTGCTAGGATTACAGTCATGAGCCACTATGCCAGGCGCAGATAATAATTACTTTAAAAGAAGAAAGTCTTTCTGTAGTTTTCTTATATCATGAGTTTTTATAGGGATAAGTTTTAATGATCATTATTTTATTTTTCGTAATATTATATCTGAATTATAATATTCGCCCGCATAAATAAAATATGCAGAAATTTGCAAACTGGTGTTTTCCTGTCTCTTCTTAACAACTGCAGAGGACAGTTGCCTGGCCCCATGAAAATTCACCCTGGGCTCTAGAGCAATCACCACAGCCCAACTAACTCCAGGGGTTTGCTTCACATCTTTAGAACTCTTTCTAGTCTTGACACTCACAACTGATTAAAAAGGCTTAGTTTCTTCCCAACCGAAAACACAACAGGACGAAAGAATAAAGAAAAAGGGAGTTCTCTAACTTAGTCTTAAAATAGTTACACAGAAAATGAGTTGCATTCCTCTGGGCTTATAAAATAAAGGGAGGCAAAAGGAAAAAAAAAAAAAATAACCAAGCACATTCTCTTTCTTTTAACTACATGGGTAATATAGGGTATTGAAGAAGAATATCATTATATCTTGGCCTAAAGTATTTTTTAGAATTATACATCATCTCCCCTGATTAAAAAGTGAATATAATATGTGAGAAACAGCTTTAAAATATTGCAGTAAGAACCTTCTCATTCCACTTAAAGAGGTTATTTTCTCTGTAAACTCCTCAAACAAGGTTTACTTTGTAGAGACACTTGATCACTTCCTTTTCATCAACTTAACTAACGTTACACCCCAGAATCTGCTATTGCAAACCAAAGTGCAATGATGATGCAAAGAACATATGACAAAAGAAGTTATAAAATTTGGCTCTGCAGAATATTTACAACAAAAAGCAGATAGAATTGACTTAACTGTTTGCAACATCTTAGGCAAAACTCACATTTATCTTTTAGACTATAATTGTTTATTTAGTTCAGTAACATGGCAGTAAGCACATATTTTACGAATTTGCCAAAGGGGTGAGAAATGAAATTTCCCTCCTTTTAGTTCCTGTTAAGCAATGGACACATTGCTGACTCTGTAGCCATTTTATCCTCTCTGTACAGAAAAGGGGGGAAAAGGTTAATAATGTGAGGGCTTTGGCATTTGAAAGAATTAAGAATTAAGTTCTGGGCCGGGCGCGGTGGCTCAAGCCTGTAATCCCAGCACTTTGGGAGGCCGAGACGGGCGGATCACAAGGTCAGGAGATCGAGACCATCCTGGCTAACATGGTGAAACCCGTCTCTACTAAAATACAAAAACTAGCCGGCGAGGTGGCGGGCGCCTGTAGTCCCAGCTACTCCGGAGGCTGAGGCAGGAGAATGGCGTGAACCCGGGAGGCGGAGCTTGCAGTGAGCTGAGATCCGGCCACTGTACTCCAGCCTGGGCGACAGAGCGAGACTCCGTCTCAAAAAAAAAAAAAAAAAAAAAAAAAAAAAAATTAAGTTCTGGTTTTACCTACTATTACGTGGGTAATTTGGGGCAAGTCAATGGTTTCTTTCCTCCCTTCTGTTTCTTCCCTCTACCGCTTTGCTCTAACTTTCTCTTCCCCTGTTCCTACCTCTCTCCTTTTTTTTCCCTTCCTTCCTTCTTGCTTCCCATTTTAGTCTCTCTCCTCCTTTTATAAAAAATAAATTCAAGTTGAGGACTGAGAGCTTTGTCTCACACTGGTAATTCCAGCACTTTGGAAGGCAAAGGCAGGTGGATTGCTTGAGTCTAGGAGTTCGAGACGAGCCTGGGCAACATGACAAATGCTTGCCTCTACAGAAAATACAGAAATTAGCCAGGCGTGGTGACACACACTTGTAATTCTAGTTACTTGGGAGGCTGAGGCAGGAAGTTTGCTTGAGCCCAGGAGGTGGAGGCTGCTCTGAGTCATGAGGGCTCCACTGCACTCCAACCTGGGTGACGTGATGAGACCCTGTCTCAAAGGAAAAAAGAAAATAGAAGGAAGGAAGGAAGGAAGGAAGGAAGGAAGGAAGGAAGGAAGGAAGGAAGGAAGGAAGGAAGGAAGGAAGGAAGGAAGGAAGGAATTCAAATTGAAAAAACATTAAAATTACAAAGGGAAAGCATACAATTCTGAATACTTGAATCCTGCTCCTAAGAAGCTTGCACTTTGTGCTTTTTCTTCTTTATTTAGTTGGATTTTCCTTGTAAATGTTGTTTTTAAGAATAAATATTTATTTTTAGAATACTTTTTGATTTACTGAAAAATTGAGAATAGTACCAATTTTCCATAAATCGCTTGCTCAGCCCCCATAGTTAACATCTTATGTTAGTGTGTTACAGTTATTAAAATTAACGAATCAATGTTCATTATTTATTTATTTATTTATTTATTTATTTATTTATTTATTTTTGAGGTGGAGTTTCACTTTTCTTGCCCAGGCTGGAGTGCAATGACAGGATCTCAATGCAATGCAACATCCACCTCTCGGGTTCAATCCCAGCTACTGCCT